CAGTGGTTAACCAGTACTCACAGTACTCAAGCAGCTTCAAAGAGTAAGTCCAGATCACAGGTCTACTGGAAGCTCTGTGTTTTAGTCTGTATGAAGACTATAAGAATTTTCTCTTTAAAGTAACATACAGAGTTAGCAGGTCAGTTTACTCTGAGAGCAGCAGTTAATCAGATCAGACAGTTTTATAAAATCCAGTTTTATGAAAAAAATAGAGCAAATAGAATTCAAAACTTGACATGTGATGTGATGCCACAACAGTGTCAACTCCTGGGGGAAAGCAATCCAAGGTTGTTTCTTTAAACACATACTTCAACAATGTAATGGGCTAAGAACAGGGATAGATGTGTGCAGAAACAGAAAATAAACCTGAACACACAAGGCTCATTCTCCAATCAACAGGAAGACAAAAAAGGTATAATGAGAAGCAGATTAGTCTTTACATACTTTTCAGTTCTTCTAGCACAGGTCTGTTATGATCAGAGAAGGGAAAAAAAATAGGACAGTCTTTATCTTCAGTGCAATTTGCATAATGCCCTTGCCCCAGAAAACCTAGAAAACTAAGAATAGAAAAGTGGTTCTTTTGACATGACAGAAAGAAGAAACTAACAATATGCTATGTCAGTCCAGTTTGGTCTTTTGTATGGCTTCTGGAATTTGAGGCAAGATTCCCACATGGGATAAAATGATGTGACTCCACTGCCTATAGTGTAAATTCACCGGTCCATGAGTTCTGAGGACCCAGTGCCATTCTGTTTGCCACAACAAAACTTTTCTAAGGAATGGAGATTAAAAAGATGTTTCAATGGTGGGTACAAGCATAGGACCCAAAACTCCTGAGATAAGATTCAGCTTTGGCACAGGGTTCATAGATGAACTTAGGTATGTCTTTTCTGGGCTCAGTTCCTCATAGATAAAGCAGTGATCCCTAAGCGATGCTGTAAGGATATGTGTTCTAAAGGGTGGGGCACTGGGGTCTTACAAATATTTGGTAGAGACCTCAGGAAAAGATGAAGAATGGGAAATGCTGTCCAGATGGTGAACAGTGTTGAGTGGGTGTGTACAAGCCATCCCTTATGCATGGATATGCCATCTTGGTATTCTTCCTTTACTGTAAAGAAAAGGAGCACTGGATGCAGGTAGCTTATCCTCCAGGAAGCCAGCAATGAAAAACAAGCAGCTTATCTAGTCCTGCAACCCTCCCTACTTCCCTTCCCTCTAGCAGGAGAGAGCATGATAAAAGAGAAAGCATGAGTCTCTGTAGGAATTCAAAGCTGTGAATCTTCCTCTCACCCTGTCTGGCCAAAATCCCTTCATTTGCAGGGGGAATTTAGGCCAGGGATCACCAGTTCTCACTCTCAGCCAGAATAACAGAGGAGAGGGTTAGAAAGGAAGAAAAACAGCCATAACTCAGCAAGTACAGTCAGAAAGAGAGGAGAAGGAGATGCATAAAATGTGGTTCTCTCATATGTTTCCAGCCATATCCCCACCCCGGTAACTCTTTCAAATTTCCCCCATCAGGACAGTGAGAGATTCTTTTTTGGGGGGGGAGGTCACTTACAAACAAGGATATTATTTGTCTTTTAGAAGAAGAAAGGAGATTGGGTCAGGAATAGATTACTGCTGCTTTGGAAAGAGGTTGCAAACTCATTCCACACCCCTATTCGATTCCAGAGTTAGGAGCAAGACAGATACGTTGGGGTTTGCTGATGCAACCTTACTGAGAAATGCTCCCAACAAGAGACAGACAAGCCAGTATGGCACTGTTCCACAGCTTGCTGGCAGTAGTGGGACTTAGGATAGGAAGGGGCAAGTTCTCCATCACAAATAAAAAAGAATTACAGAATGGAGAAAATCAAAAGTGAAAACAAAAAAGGTGCAGCTGAAGTTTGAGGTGGTTAAAATGAAAAATGGGACTGTGCCATTCACAGGTGGATAGATAGATCAATCAATTGATCTCGTCTACACTGACACACTTTGGAGCTATAATTCACTGCTGGGGCAATTATTCCAGCATAGCAGTGGCAGGAGCTATATCAGAGACAGAATTCAGGTGCTTTTAGTCAGGGGAGAGTTGGACAACAAAGGAGTAAAAAATGGTAAATACCATCCATCAGTAAAGATACATGGGATATAAGTTATGTCTGTGCACTTGCAGGGTGTAGAGGGACAGATAGACAGATAGATAAATAGACACATAAAAGTCTGAGTTTCGGTTGTGCAATCATTCGCTGTCTGACCTTATACTCTCCTCCTCTCCACTACTCTTAGAGAGAAAAGCGTTTAGCATTATTGTGTCCAGGTCTCTTTGCCATGTTACTGTTGGCTCCTTTATCCCCCCACGCTGAGTAAGTGGTGCTGACTCTGGAAGGTGCGAGGAATTTTTCTTCATAAGCCTTGATGTGTTCAAGAGAGGGCTGGGCTCATCTCCACTGTGAGTCTGACAGGCGTTTTAACAGCCTCACAACACCAGGACAAATAGCTCCTGGTCCCTTAACTCTTCTCAGATTTGCAAGGCAAGGCCCAGCACTGTTGTTCCCATTGCAAGGGCTTTACACAGTCTTTCAGGCTGAAATCCTCTCTGTGGTGGCTGGGCAGAGCGGAAATCCAGGGGCTGGATCAGATTGGCCTAATGCTACAGCAGCTTAAGCGGTCTGTTTTACCAGAGATTATGGTTTCACTTACACAGAGCGCCTGAAAAATGCTGCGGTTTAGGAAGGATTATCGCTGAAAATTCCATGCTTTAAAAGAGAAATAAAGCAGGGGAGGGACTAGGAAACCCAATGTGCCTGGGGGCTGTGCAAACAGGATTAACCTCTGCCCATAGCACCTCTTGCTTCTGCCCACCCACGCTTCCTGTGTCCACCTTCTTCTCTGCCCTTTCCTTCCTAGCAGCTCCCCACACCTGCTGTCTTTTATATAATACAGAGAGCTGGAAAAGGGAGTCTGGAAAGTGCCCAGGACCAAAGTGTCCCTAGTTTATTTACGTATCACTGTCAAATGGCTTTCTTGAAAAATATCACTTCACTTGCAGCCTGTGAAAGCCAGAGGAACTTTTGGCCCTCTGCCTGCAGATAGATCTATTCATCCAAATTATCTTGTATCAACATTATTTGGATAAAGGCTTCAAGCACTCCCAGAATGCTGGTGGTAACTCTGCCTGTCTGCTCTGAAGGTAAATCTGTGAACTCCTTGCCATCTGATGACAGAGGATGCAGAAGAAAAATAGGTTTTGAGCTTCTCCATCTACAGAGACTGGCACTGGCATATGAAAGTTCACTAGTACAATTGTAGGACAGTGTACAGTTGTAAAAAGCAGAAGCTGCACACTGATGTGCTGCCTACTCTGGTGACTTTAATTAACTGTACAATAAAATCCAGATACTCCAGTTTCTGTTCTGCATATCCTCCACAAAAGGTCCCTGCCAAACAGAGCTTCCTAGCAAAAAAGGAAAAGAAATTACAATCCTCACTTAGCATACCAGAGACATCACATAAGTAAACTAAATGAAGAGGAACCATACACCTTTTGGCCAGGACTGATCCTTCCCAATAGACTGAAACATGAACATATGTCCTTGCTGCAAAGGAGTCTTGGTGATCAGAAACCTTTACTGGCCATCCAGGTCAGAAGTACTTGGAGCAGAACACAGATGGCAAACTATCATTTTTGCCAGGTAGCAAACCTTCAGGAAACAAATATCTCAGGATAAACAGAATTCACAGATTTAAACTGCCCAGCCCTTTATTGTCTAGGTGAGCAGTACAGCCTCTCAATAAAATGCCTAGAGTTAATTAAGCCAGTTCTACATTAATGAAGTCAGATTTATGACCTAATTATATGTCACATTTGTATTTCTCTGTATAAACCAAAACCACCAGAACTAACTTATTTCATAGGCCATTGGCAACACTTGCCATCACAGCAAAGAGATGGGTTTCATTTATTGGCATTAATTTGTTTCCCTGAGGATGGATGGTTTGCTAGATGATTTGGATAGGATCTGATCACATCATCCATGCTTTGCTTTCAGGTGTTCAAATACAGCATTCTACTATTGCTGTCCCAACAACAGTGAGTGTTCTGGAGTACTTATGCTTTAGGTCACAGAGTTCTCCAATTCCCAAACCTCCTACTCAGCAGCTGAGTTAGGAGCAGTTACAAAGCTGTATCTATTGTGCCTATGCAAATCTGCACATCAGAAATGGAAGTCCAATATAAACAACAATGAAAATTAGACCTTTTGTAAGTCCCCTACATTTTCTCTCCTCCATTATGTCTCTCTGTCAAGGTATCTATCTGGCAAAATTATACTCTGCGACCACTCAGTTGGTTAAATCTCCAAAGTGTGCCACTGCGAACAAGATCAGTCGATTGATCCATCTATCTACCTATTAATTGCACAGTCCCATTTTTATTTTAACCTTTATAAAATTTGGCTTGAGAAGCTTTGACAATTACACTCAGCAACCTGTTAAATAGGTACTCATAGCAGCGCTGCTCTCCTGGGGAAGGTTACCTTGAGTTTGAAGAGAAAAAGTGGTATAATTCCTTCAGCCAAACTGTGTAAATGTGCCCTCAGCCAGCAAGAGAAAGCAACAGGAAAGGGAGCACAAAAGCTTCAGAGCATTCTTCTTCCCAACCCTATGCTTCTTCCTGTCCTCCTGCATGTTCCCTCTCTCACCTCTCCTTTTCCTGCATCTCATCCCTCCCATCTGCCACAGCACTCCATTCCCCTCATCTCCTGCTGCCCCTGCAGAGGCATCCCTGCAGTCTGAGCCTAGCCCCCAGGTGCATTTACTGCTGTTGTCTCAGCACTGGCTCCTCTGATCTACTCCTAACCTTTTTATTTTTGTTTTTGTTTTAAAATTAATTTCCCTGTAGATTTTAACCACTCCATTTTCATTTACCCATTTTGTTCTTCCTCTCCTCCCTTCCCCACCCTCCTCCTCCTTCCCCTGTTCCCTTTGTCTGTCTGTGTCCATCCCTTACCCTACCACAGAAAACCTCTCCTCTCCCCTCAGTATAAAGCAAGAGCCTCATGGAGCCTCTCTCACCCCTTTCACCCCCACCACGCCGGTCGGCTCTGGGCAGGCTGATCTTCAGCCCTTCCACATGGCCCTTTCAGACGATGCGTCCACGCCCTGCTACAGTGCCTTCCTTCATCATGGTGCCCACTTTGGGCAGTCCAGCAGCCAGCCTCTGATAGCAGGTAACTGGCCTTGGCCACAAACTGAGTGGGGATGCTCTAGGAAAAGGGTTCAGTTTCGTCTGACGGGGAGGCCAGTAAATGCTGCAAGCTCTTTGAGTGCAAGTGGGAACCAGAGCAACCACGTTCCAGGTCTGCATATGCAGCATATGTTCTCAGCTGCATGAAGTCACAGTCAGATTTCATGCCTATCCTTCATTTTTTAGAATAAAATGGGAAAAGAAGCTGTAACTACTTAGAAGTGACTGGGTGTCCCAGCTGGATGGGTCTGGGACTCAGCATAGAAGCACTTGTACAGCATAATCCTGTGTTTCCTCAATAGCCATAATGTCCTTGTGTACTGTAGGTCCAGCAAAGGTACTGTGTGCTAGCCTAATGGAGATGATAGCAGCTTGAAGATCCTAGCCAGCTCTAGTCCTGCCTGGGATGTTCAGCACAGGGTGTAGCTACTAAGTCAGATAAACACATAGGCAGTTGGTGAGCACTGCTATGCTGTGGGCAGTATTTGAGTCACCTACTTTGGGAGTGTCAGTGTGAGCTGGTGCCTTCATACAGCAGACCAAGTAGTTAAGAAACCCAGCATCATGTATGAATGTCAAGAGCAAGAAGGGTGTGTGAGGGACTATAATGTTTTACAGTCAAAAAATACAGACCTGACATAGGTGGCCTTTAAGGCAAGAGCAGAAATGAAGAAAGAGGTTGTAGAAGATGGCAGCACCTACGAGCAGTAGGTGGGAGGGGAGGATGAGGAGGAAGGACAAGTTTCAGGTAGGTACTAAGGAAAACTCCTGACCAAGGTGACTGAAGCAACATTGCTGTAGAAGTTCAAGGGTAACTTGGATGAAATAGGGGGTATTATCTGAGGTGACCACTGACCACTTTTCAAAGGATGTAATCTGGGCTTTTACAGAACAGACAAGTCTTAGTGCAGACCACAGTTCCTAATACTCAAGGAACATATCTTACCTCTGCCTCCTTCATGTTCGTTTATTATTTTTCTCTTTTGAACTAACATCCTTCCTTTGTATTGTCATGTGAGATTTCCATTTCTAAACCTCCACGTAGGAAAACAGAAAGTAACATCAGAGAAGATTTGTGTTCGTAACATTGTCTTGGTCCAACCTTATTGCAGCCAGTAAGAGCCCCTGAGTTCTGGGCACTTCCTAAGCCAAGAAGTCTCCTGACAGACTCTCTCCAACAATCTCCAACAGATCTTTGGGGATGCTGTCATATATGACCAACCTCTAGCCTAGAAGGCACTGTGTTTCAGGAGAGGGACCTGCCTTAGGACCTTTATAGGGAATTAGACATTGGGCAAAGTGTTCAAAAGCTCAAACAATGTCACAATGATTCAGATGCTGTTTCTCACTCAGAAGGCTCTTGGAGGAGAGAGAATGGCTGGAGTCAGAAGCATGTTATGAGTTAGCCTTGCCATAGCCTTGGAGTACAAGAATTTAATAATCCTGTCTACCTGTTTGTAATGAGAGGAGGTAATGGAAGGGGCCTGCTTACATATAACAGCATTTTAAGAGCCTCCCTGTGGGACTCTTAGTGATGCTGCTGATACAGTACTTGTTATCTTCTTTTTCAAGACTGGGATTTTGACAGATGATCACTTCCAAGCAAATTTTCCATGCTCAGTTTTGAACATCAGCCTCTTGCACTCATGTCTGAATAAAAACACAAGGGCATATGTGCATACGTCAAGTAGCAGAGTGAGTGTATATGTGTTCCCAACTGAATGGAAGTGTCAAAATGAATTAATTTTGCCTGCCGCTACATAATGTTATCTTTAACTTTTCAGTGACACTGCTTTCTCACTCATCACCTGTTGTTATATCTCAGGCTAGTCAATAAAAGAAACTAAAAGAACAAGAATTTTAAGCACGAAAATTTCTTGCCTTAAAAGAATGTGAGAAAAAAATAACTACATATAATAGGCGTTATTCATACAGCTTAACGCACAGCTACAAATCACTAAAGGAATGATGGTGATAAATGAGTAAAAGAGTGTAGAACACAAATCCCTGAGACACTACATATTTATTTTTATCGATATTGGGGAGTGGCTGGAAAATGGCTCAGCCATTGCCTGGTAGTTCTATGCCATTATCTAAGAGGAGGTGAGCTAGGAACATCAGCCACTGATCAGGAACCTCTTGAGGGAGAAAGAATGAACTTGCATTTCTGTCTTCTTGAGTAAATCACCTCAGTAATCTTTAGTCAAGACCTATGAAAGCAATGACACCGTTTTAACCTACCTCATGCCAGAGAAACTTCCTCCCTTCAGGTTAAGCTCCGTGCCTCTTAGTTCTTGCTTTGCCTTATAACTGTTATTTATCTCTGATTCCCCAGCCTAGTTTCATGCTTGTTCCAGGGCCTGCTTTATCAGTTATCATTTTGCTGCTACTAGAGCTAAACCAACTCTTCTTCTTTCATTGGTGTATCCCAGCACGGTTCCAGTGACTCCAGTGGTGTTAATGGGCTACACTTAACCTGTCACTTCTAAAGGCAAATCAGACTCCTGCCCTTCAGTTAGAACAGACAGGAGAGATAAAATTTAACAAAGGAACAACAAATGGCACAAACTTCTTGGTGAGCTACAGTTCACCTAGGAAATGTGAAAGGCTTTGGATGTCTGGAACAGGCTGACATCTCAGTAGGCAGTGTTGGAGGTTGAGCTGTAAATCTCTCAGCAGCTGCGGGGGAAAGATTATCTTAATTTATTTAGCGCTTTTTTTTTTATTTTGGTTTGGGTTTTTTTGTTTTGTTTTGGCTTGAAACTCCCAGCAGCTTCTGAGATTATGTTCGTTCATTTAAATGCAATAAGCACTAACAGCAAATGCCCTTCTGGCTGGCCCATTTTCAGGCTAACCCATCCAAATGAGGAAATGCCTCTGGCATCAACCAAGAAGCCCCCAGATGCACTTCCTAAGAGATGAAAAATAAACTACAACCAAACACCCAGTCCACACCCCTCTCTACTTCTTTGATGGTGGAAAGATATTACAACTTTAAGTATTACAAACAAAAACTAGTACCTGTGATAAAAATGAAGTGAGACTCAAACTAATTTGCATGATCCTATTATTATATACAGTACACCAACACTTGGAAGGAGTCCAACCAGTATTGGTCTCATGCTAAGCACTGTGCAAATGTACTAAAAGTGTGGCCTTGCATCAAAGAGTTTGCAACATAAAAAGAAGCACAGAGAGGTGAAGTGACTTGCCTAAAACCATCAGCAGATGAATGACAAAGGTGAGAAGAGAGACAGGCACAGAAAACTCTTGGATCACTTTCCAATGCCTTGCACATTGATCATGCCCTAAAGCAACATCACCACAGTTTTGGAACTGCATCCAGTGCATACAGACAGGACCTCAGCTACTTTGGCAATGAAAATGCTGCCATTCTCCGTGCAGATCAGGGCCATTTTGATTTACTTAAAACAGATCCAAAATCTACAATGAAACAAAACAAATTCTTTTGAGCCTCACAAAGCTAAGTTTTAACATCTACCCTTACAGTGTGAGATCAAAAGTGCCACAATCTTCACTCAGAATTTTCAGGGGATGGACAGCATTTATGTAAGAGAAGGCTGCACAGTAGTTGCCTATCAAGCTGCTAGTCATGTGGGAGAGAAGGTGATATCAAATCAATATTGAAAGATCTTATCCTTATTGATCACCTGTCCTGATTCTTTCCCCTTCCAGGTCGTGATATGGCAAGCACCACCTTGCCTGGCTACCCACCCCATGTTCCCCCAACTGGACAAGGCAGCTACCCAACCTCAACTCTTGCAGGAATGGTTCCTGGTAAGTCAGCTGACAGACCTCACTAATGGTGCACACATGTTTGAACAGTATATCAGCATTGCAAGAGCTTTCACATCTGGCTTGGCTATTGCTTTGCTGACATTAAGAGCAATTCTTTTCATAAAGAAATCATCAGGTGCCTATAACCAGTGTTACTAACAACCCTTTTTGTAATGTATCTCTTTCCCCCTAGTAACTGATTAACTGCTGCTATGGGCAACTAGCTAGCTATAACCTGTGACAATTAATTGGTAATTAATTAACCTAGTATTCATTAACTAATGTAATTATTTTCCAATTACCTATGCAGGTTATTATGCGCTGCTTATGGCTTAGGATATTCACCTATCCACTAACTTAGGGGAACAACTTACTTTCTATCTAAAGCCATGGCATCAAACTGAAAGTTATCAATGGTAATTTAATACCTGCAGTTTTTGGAGACCTACTGTCTATAGCCTAAACTAGCTAAGAACTCAGCAATGATTAACAGCATTTCAGGAGAAACCAGCTATGCACTTTTAACAACCAACTACTTACCCACTTGTTTGTAAGATTGTGCCTCCAACCCAAGAAAAAAATCTACCTAATCCTACATCCAAAGGCAAACTCTTTCTTTGTTACCCAATGCCTTTGGAGAAATACCTTATCTCAGCCTATGGATTCTCCCACCCTTTAGGGAGAAGAGAGGACCATTTACTTTAAGGCAACTGAAGAGTTTCTTACCTCAGGGTCTATTCCCCACTCCTCTGATGACAGTTTTCCCCAGGAGATAAATGAAGAGACAGGATTTTTGTTTCTCAGACACAGTAGCTCAGAATACAGAACTTATCTGCTACTGATTTCTGCTTTTGTTACAGCCCGGGGTTGTGAGTTCTGGTGGTTAAGGAGCAGGTACACAGTCCATTCTGCAACCTCTGCTTCTGAAGGGATGAGTCCAGAACTAAAGCAGCACAAAGCTGGGGACAGAAAGCTCTTCTATTACTATCATATGATTTGCCAGGGCTTATGAGTGGAAAGCCTAACTTAACCCTCATTCAGATTTTGGAACAGCTAGCTGAATGAATGTAAACAGCAGTGAGGGTAGCAAAAATATCACTGATAGGAAATGTTTTCAGGCCAAAGTCTTTAAATGATAAATCATAGAATCAGAGAGTGGCTTGACTTGGAAAGGACCTTTAAGATCATCTAGTTCCAACACCATTGTCATGAGCAGGGACACCTTTCACTAGATCAGGTTGTACAGAGCCCCATCCAGCCTGGCCTTGAACACTTCCAGGAATGGGGCATCCACAAGTATTCTGGGCAACATGTTCCAGTGGCAAATTTTAGGGTATCTCCTTCTACATCCTTCTAGATGGTTTGGCTTGAGAATCAGAGAAGCACTAAGGCAATATATATCAATTAACACACCACACTCCCAAAAACATGTAACAGTAGGTAGATTCAGTTGACAATATTTAAATCAGTTAAAGATCAAAATTTACAGGAGGTCATGGCGTATAGAAATAATTAATAATACCAAACTAACTGGCTCTCTGAGTAGAGACTTCTAAAAAACCAGGCTCTTCTCAACTTCTAACTGTTCTCAACTGTTCAGTGGTTGCTATGTAAGTTTAATGTCCTCATCACAAGGATGATACTGACTTCTAAAGTGGGACAAAGATTTTAAGACCACTAATCACAGGGGTCACTTATCCAAAAACAGGGTATTTTAGCTCCTTGATGTGGAGGTTGCTTATCTATAACACAGCAGTGTCCCAAAAAAACCACAGAAATACTCCCAAAAATAAAAGGAACAGAATTACATAGGAAAAAAAAGTTGTTATAGTTCAAAGTAAAAAAAATAAACAAATACTCCAGTCAAATGGATATATTTACATTAAATCTAATGTCAACATTCAATCAGAGGAAGTTCTTCCAGTGGCCTGCTTGGGCACCCTGCAGTAGTTACTGCATCTTTCAACAGAGCATCAAGTTCTGGCTGTTTCAGTCATACCCCACTGGTCAGACCCAGTCAGGAAGCCCTTCTATTCCTGTCTTCTAATGTGACCAAAGCCAACAAGATGGAGATAAAGAGGCTTCCTGTGAAGAAATAGAAGACTTAGTTTTAATGGGTCACACTGCAGATCTCTGCAGCCACTACTCTGTGTCAGGGGCCAACAGGAAAAGTCTGAGGAAGCATTAATAATAGAGCAAGCATGTATTGGTACTTTCTCAAAAAATCTCCCACCCTCCAAGTTGCAGCTAAGAGACTTCCTAAGCCAGACTTAATATATTTCTATTTCATATTAAACACCCTCTATCGGTTTTCCCTCCACAAACTTAAACAATGTCTCCTGAACCAATATAAACCTTTAACATCTACTGCAACCTGTGGTAAGAAGTTCTGTACCTTAACTACATATTTTGTGAAAACTATTTCCTGTATTTGTTCTAAACCTGCCACCTGCTAGGCTCACTTCATGCCTCATCGTTTCTGTATTGGAAGACTAAACCAACAAGATTTAAATACAGATGCCAAGAAATACTGTTAGTAAAGATTCCCAGAGCACAGATTGCACAGAATATAGGCCTCATGAGATCGATCCTCTGTGCTTGCTTGCAACCTCTGTTAAGAGTCCGGTTTGAGCAGACAAAACAAATACAATATTGCCAGTGGTTTGTTACATGCCCTCAGGCCAAGAAAGATCAGGGGCCAATGCTCTAACTACACTGGAAACAAGAAGCCAGCAAGATGACCACTTAGGAGGTATCTTTAAGAAAGCTACTGACATACAAACAAACCTATTGTTTAGATATGAGTGAATAAGAGAAAGAGGCTCTGTATTCTCTAAACAAAGGTGCAAATCTAAACACAAAACTGTTCAGAAACCAGATTTCTAATCCATGCAAAATTCTGATTTTTTGATATTTGTTTTCATCCTGCATTGGTACGAGGAGACAGAATCTTGAAACAGTTCAATTTGCGAACATCAGGATAAAACATTTCAGTAATGTCAACATGTTTTAGATGTCAAAACATATTAAAATAATAAAAGAATTGAAAGGAAATTAAATGAGATGAGAAAGGCAAAATGAAACAGAACAAGAAAGTTGAAACATAATACTTTGTTTCAATTTGCAATAATTTCAGAACTTTTCTTTCCAAAACTCCATTGAAGCTGACAAGCTCATGCAAGACATTTCCATTTCAATGAGACAGCATTTTCCAGTGGAAAACTGTTTCTGAGAAGATTGTTTGAGCAGTGCTAATTAAATCTGCTATGTTCTACCCATGACAACCTTTCACTAGACTTCTACTTGCATAGTCTACAGAAGAGCTTGTCTCCTGTTGCAGTACATCCATGCAACATGGTCAGCACATGCACATATCTCTGAGGTTTATGTGGATGATGTGATAAGATACATATCCTGCATTTGCCCCTGCCCATTACTTCAGGTCCCTGGCTATAGACATGGAAGAAAGCCAGTAGTCCTGAGCATACACTTGAAAAAGCAAGGGTTAGTCACCCAAAGAAGGATGATTCAGGTATTGTGCTACACTTAACCTACGCATTTGAGAGAAGTTTCCCACACAGGTAACAGAACACCTTTGATCTCTGCCTCAATTCTTCCTCTTTCCCAGAAAGGTCACCAAGTTTCAGCAAACTGTTTTAGTAAAGTGAGCATCGGCTGAAGGAACTGCCGTTTACACAGAGCAGCGCAGTCTGCAGAGGGCTGGGGATGGCAGCAGCAGGGAGTCGTTAAACAGAATCCAATGTTGATGAGGAAATTACACTTGTTTCATTAGTGATCGGGGAAGGCGATAGCTCAGTTCCTCTTGGTCACAGTTGAGCTCAAAAGCTCATTATCCTGCTGCATGCATGCTTTCACTCCTCGTCAATAAACACTGTTTCCAGTGGCTGCCCTCCCTCCTCCCCAGCGCTCCATAGCTGTGACTCTTTCTCCTGTACTTAACCCATGTTCAGGAACACTATAAACAGTTTAGGGTGTCAACTCAGAAGGTGGTGAGAGAGAAGTCTTGAAATATCAGAACAACTTCCCTCCATGCAGTGAAGTGATGTTATATGAGGCACTTCAAAAGCAGAAATTCCCATGTGGATAGTTTCTCTCCTTTGGGAGGCAAACACATTCTAGTATATTCCACAGATAAGTCAATTCAGTAGAGATAAATCTGGACTCTGCATTGCATCTTGGTCGTCTTAGCAGGTTTCTATTCCTTCCCAGCTACTTGTCAGGATTTTCAGTGCAGGATGTTTCTAGCTATGGAATTATGCTGAGTTATTATCATTAAAACAGTAGTTAGCAAGATCTGTCATACAAAACGAGGTTTTATGTGGAAACTAAAAATTATTGTGACTAAAATACCTTTGGAAGTTGATGGGATTTGATGCATACACATTTTTGCACTGACTACTTTGGTTATTATCCTGAGTTACTTTTAAACCTGTCTGGAAAGATTCTCTGCAAGTTTAAAGCAGTGTAAATCCCCTGATTTCAACAGCCTTCATTTCCACCATCTGAGAATCTATGATTTTGGCTTTAACACTCCAGTGAGGGGAGATTTGCAGAGATTACGGTATAATTAATTGACATTCTTTGGTAATTGCATCACAGGCATCCATCGTGTCTTGCACTGCCTTCTTTTTCTGTTCCATGGTATCTAGCAGGGACTGCCAGGTGTTTTTCAAACACTTCTGCTGTAACAATTCTACCCCTGCCTTGGGGCACATCAGAAGCTAATAGCCACACTGTTCTACCACTGTCCTTTAAGTGCACAATGCCTTTCAGATGGCATTAATTGTCCCCAGTCTGTTGGTACTGCATTAAATTGAGGTTATGATGAAATAATGTCATGCTTTTTTTTAATAGAATGATACATGTTTAAGTTTGGGGAGATTTATTTTTTTTGAATGCAGCACCATAACTTCTTGGCCTTCTATTAAAAAGGGAGACTCAGTTCCTTCTGCGCAATAAAACTGAATTTTAAAGAAGACTCTACAACATTCAAATCTTGGGTCAGAGTCTTACTAGATCTCAAAGCTTGCAAGTATTTTGGTTTGGGCCCATTTTATTAAACGTGAAACGTGGAGCCACAGCACAGCTTGTCTTTCAGATTCAACACAGTACCTAAAGCGCTGATCATTAGAAAACTATGTTCTGGAGCTGGAATGAAGCAAGTTTTCTCTGTAACTCACCAAGAATAAAAGGGGGGTTAATAATGTATGAATCACTTTTCTGACTAATACCATCATACAGAGTAAGAAAGTGATTCATGTGTTTTTCCATTTTATTTTATATAAAAGTCCAGCCTACTCAGAACATTTCCAAAAAGGAATGATACTCTTCTCAGCAAATATGCCATAACCCTCAGTACCCTACAAAGAAAACTTAGCAATACATATTGCCATCAACAGCACTGCTAGTTCCAATGAGTTTATTGTGAGCTTGTCCCATCATGCTGCCATACCTGCCATCTTGACACTACCGGAGAACCTTAGATTTATTTATAAGAAAGCTGATAGTTAAGTGCAGAAAAAGCTTGCATATGCAATCCTACTGCAACTTGAGATTTGGAAGTCAGAAGGCAATGAAAAATAAGGAAACAAAAAATAAACCACTTTAATTATTTATTTTTATTACTGAATTTCATTTAAATTAATTTCTTGATTGTGAAGAGGTCAATCTTATGATTTTTAATGTTATGTGTAAGGAACTTTGCACTGAACAAGCACTGCAGGGACCTGAAGGGCAAAGTCCCAGCTGGGCAAGGAAGCTACATACCCTACAGCATCAACACTGGCTTGATGGAATAGCAGACGTAAGTCTTCGTTCCTAACTGTATTTCACACCTTCCTTCCTTTCTTCCAGGGAGCGAGTTCTCAGGGAACCCCTACAGCCACCCTCAGTACACAACCTACAACGAGGCCTGGCGGTTCAGCAACCCTGCGTTACTAAGTGAGTACCTCTTTCCCACAGCACACCCCCAGCCTCGCGCTCCTTCTGTTTGTCTATTCGTTTTCTTTGTTTTTTGGTTTTGTTTGTTTGTTTGTTTCTGAAGAGGGTTTTCAAGTATTTGGGCAAGTGATAGGCCTTATCCCTCACTCTCAGTCCAGTGTTGAAATGGGTATATACTTCATGCATGTTTTGTAGCAGTTTTGGAGCTGATTCCTCTTTCATGAGACGGTTCAGAACTCAAGTTCAGCTCTAGCTTCTCTGTGAGCTGCATCCATAGTTTATTACAGATTGTATCAGAAATTAAATTCAGGCTCTGTTACTCTCAGGCTGTAATCAGCATCCTTTCAAGGCCTTATTAAAAATCCAGATGACATTTCACTCCTCTCCCAAGCTAAACCCAGACTCAATTCCTGGGGATCTGTAAATCCCATAGAAGTTCTCCCTATTCAACCAGTTAGAACAGTGTCCAGAGTGGGAGACAGGCTGCATCATTAGGTTTACAATAGACAGCAGAGTTGTCTTGCAGGGATATATATATCCATCTCCAGTGACTAATATGCCCATAATCAGGTTTTTTTTCAGAGGGGAAAAAAACTCCTATGAGACTATCTTCTAATACAACACCTCTTTGCAAGGGAATAAGAAGAGATATATTATATGTAAAATAAATCAGTTGTGATTATTATCTACATATTTACTGAGGTTTAACAACTGGATAATAGATGTACATTTTATTCCAGTGTTGTTAAACCTCAGTAAATGTGATCTTAATAATCAATCACTATTTAACACACATTCGATAACCATCTAGAGAGATTTCACGACAAATGTGACCCAAATTCCAAGCAGTAAACGACTGAATTTTTGTTTCATTTCTCTCCTCCTGGTTATAAGAGTGACCTATTATACTTTGTCAGGTATGCTCAGAACATCTGGCCCTGACACTTTCCTTGTGGCTACAGATCAGGTGTGACGTATTTGTGCTTCAATGTTGTTGTTGTTTAACCCCAGGCATTAGCCAAGACCCATGCAGCCGCTCATTCACTCCCCAACCAACAGGATAGAGGAGAAAATCAGAAAGATAAAAGATAGACAACTAGCTGTGGGTTGAGATAAACACAGTTCAATAGGGAAAGCAAAAGCCACACATGCAAGCAAAGCAAAACAAGAAATTAATTCACTGCTTCCCATGGGCAGGCAGGTGTTCACCCATCTCCAGGAGCGCAAGGCCCCATCACATGTAATGGTTGGGATGCCATCACTTCATACATCCCCACTTCTTCCTTCTTATCCCCCCTTAAAATACCAAGCATGACACCATACGGTATGGAATATTCCTCTGGCCAGTTTGGGTCATCTGTTCTAGCTGTGTGTCCTCCCAGCCTCCCACATACCCCCAGGTTCCTTGCCAGCTTGGCAGTACGAGAAGAAAAAAAGGCCGTGGCTCTGTGTAAGCCCTGCTCAGCAATAACAAAAACATGTCTGTTATCAACCCAGTGTTCAGCACAAATCCAAAACACAACCCCATACCAGCCACTGTGAAGAAAACTAACCCTACCCCAGCCCAAACTAGCACAAAAGTTCATGGGCTTAGTTACTGACGGTCAGAAGAAGCAAAAGGATCTCCTTCCCATAGAGGGCTGTCAGATCCAGAGGCCACAGTAACATCTATCCATCAAAATGCAACCCTCAGCTGGCTTCCACTGATTGCCTTTCCCTAATCCCACTAGGAGCTCAGTCCCCAAATTCGTTCTTTTGGTTTCTTTTGCTTTTCTTTCTTCCTACCTTTCCTTTTCTTTTCTGTTCTCCTGTATTTCTTTTCTTAGTTTGATTGTTTGTGTTTTTTGTTTTGGTTTGGTTTTTTTTGTTTACTGTTTGTCCTTTCAACCAGTCCATTCTTCTCCTGTGTTAACTTTCAGGTTCCCCTTATTATTATAGTGCCACATCCCGGGGCTCCGCACCTCCCACTGCTGCCGCTGCCTATGACCGCCACTAGTTACCATGGAAACCACATGAAACTGCAGGGCGACAGCTTAGGCCTCCACATTGTACCTGTCTGATCACCTCCCTCATCCCTGGGAAGGGTGAAGAGACCTTCTCCGTTCCTCCCCACAGTCCAGTTCCTTCCTCTTCGCCATGAAGGCGCCGGACCAAGCGCTCACCACATGAGACTGAGATCCCCTCCCTCCCCCTGCCCTCCGCCCCGACCGCTTCCCCCACACCGGGAACAGCCTGCGGCCAAGTGGCTTCTCCAGTGGGAGCCCTCCAATGCCCCTGGGTAAAGCTCAGCCACATGAAGTCCACTCGGCTTCCAGAACTCCAGGGGGACTGGGAAGCAATGCAGATGGCAACCATTGCCTTACAGGACCCCTTTCTGGGAGCGGTAAAGGCCAGGGAAACAGGGGAGAATGCCGCTCATGAAACACTGTTCCCCAAAGATATACTCTTCTGTGGTGGACTCTTGATGTGTGTAACCTGTGATGGTCACCCTGTTCCCAGGACAGAGGGAACAGTCTGGCTAGAGCAGAGATGGCAGTACAGAGCCCTGGCCCACCTGGCAATGAAGAAAGGACCAAGTAATGATCTGCACCCCATGAGGGGTCCTCTGTGCACCTCATCCCCACTCTCCAGCATGGATTCCCCCAGAGTTGGCTGCACCTCACGGGTGGTGACTTTGCAGGCCAGAATTGGGAGGAACCTCACACATACACCCACAATTTCTGTGACACACAATCAGCTCAGACAGGAGGATGGAGCAACATTTACAAACAAACCGACGAAATGAAGAAATATATAAATAGATATATAAATATAACTGTGTTTTTATGCTTTGTCATGAAGGTCTGTAAAAAGGAACAAAAAAATCCCCAATTTTCTAAAAAACCCAAGTGAACAAAACCAACAAAAAAACCAAAATAATAATTAAAAACCCTACAAAAATAAAACTCCAAGTCCCATCCCTCCCCACCACCTGAATGGCAGACAAGTTCCTCTGACGTTTGATGCTCCTCTTTCACTCTAGGGTTTTGTTTCCTTTCTGTTTTGCACTACAGTGGGATGGTGGTATTGGAGAGGATTGGATGCCAGCTCCACCCGGGAGCCTCCTCCTCCTCCCCCTTTCCCAAAATCCTGTCTCTGGGGAGCAGTGTGGACAAGTCACATCTGACAAAGTTACCAAACACATCAGTCGACAAAAAAAGCACTCTGAGTCAACAAACGTTTTCCATGTCACTGGTTGGCAAACAAAGAAAACAAGCCCAGCTGCGCTCTAACTGCGCTGTGTGGTGGAAAGTGTGGGGCTTCATCTGGGCCCATCTGATTGCCCTCTGGACAGCTGAGACTGAGATGGACAAATTCAGGATTGGCTGGGATTATTGCTTGGTTCCCTAGCCCTTAGCCTTCAGTCCTTTTACCTTAACCTCTACTCATGACGACTTCAGTTCACCCACATCCCAACTTTTGCAATTTTAGATATGCCCAACACCCATTCTCTGCTGCCGGTGACAACAGCCTCATTATCTGTGCCCAACACCTAATTTCCTAATCACTATAGCCCTGCTATATGGGCCCCCCTTTGATTCCCAGTCCATCTGCTCATACACCTAGTAATTTATAGGCCCCACTCAAATACATATGCCTGCATCCTACCAGCCAGTTCCAACATACAGCCCCATCTTTTCATGTTCAATCCTATATTGTGCATCCTAATATTTACCCCTTATCCCAAATGCTCACCTGATGATTCTCTAGGGATTCTCTCCTCTTTTTGGTTCCCAAGTGACTGACAAACACTGTTCTGCAAAAGGCTAACTGTCAATAGAAATGCTTATTACTTCTGTATTGTCAGCAAACTCATAAACTGTTCCTTGCACTGACACTTCCTAAAAAATTACTCAAAGAAAACATGAAGGCAGCTATAGCCTGCCCCCAGGGCATCAAGTCTGCCAAAGTAGATCCTTGTTGTTTTAGAGAGGTTTCAGATAAAACTCATGGGCTATTGTCCGTGGACAAAGACAGGATTGAGAATAAAACCCCCAAAGGGCATAGAAATGAAAAGTGGAGCAATCTGTACAGCCAACATCATGTATAAAATCCAAAGTTCAAAGCCTCTGAGGAGATGTGGTAGTGGACTCTATTCTGTCTCCAAGTTAAACTTGTATGTATGAAATCCACCATCAGTAAACAGCTGTGTTGATCCCAAAGGCCCCTTTCACCTCACTCTTTTAGCCTTTGCATGGATTTAGCTGATTATATGTCCGTGTCTTCTTTAATGGGGTGCCCAAATGATAAGGGAATTTGGGGGGATGTTTACATAGAAGATATAGAGCTAAAATCTGTTCCTATGCAGAATAAAATCAAAAAGGTTACTCCTGATCTGTTAAAAGTGTCATTCTGCACATCTTACCTCTGAGTAACCTGCTGCAAATAGCAGAGTTATTACTCTATCACTGAGACCAGAATTTGGCCTGTTATCCCATCTTATTCTTTGAGAGAAGAAAATTCTGTGCAATTTCTAAAAATATACTTTCACCTCTCCTCCTGTTTTCCTTCACAGACATCAGATAGATGCTGAACCCTGTTAGTAGTGTCTCACTTTTAGTCTCTCAGTACAACCTTTGCTCTATTTGTGCACCACCCAGATTCACTCAGCAGGTGGTCAGGGCAGAGGCAATAAATCCCAGGACCAACAAGGAGAAGGTCCTGAGGAGACTAAAGAAAAGAGACTCTCACACCTCCCACTTGGCCACCTGCAGCCCAGGGGCCAGCTTGAGAAAAGCTAGGAGCTCAGAAATGCTTATTTTTATAATGGTGTTTTGCTAAACTTGAGACATGAGCTAGGGTCTGAAAGCAGGATTTAGTTGGCTCACTCATGGCTGGCTTCATTTGACCCTTGGAGGGCCAAATCTGTTGTTGGTTTAACTCCACTGATGAAAGAGGATTTCCACCAGGCATTGGATTGGTTTGGAAAGTTCATAAGTACAGCATGTAGTCTGACTTGGAAAATTAAAAGGAAAGCAGAATTATGCAAAAAACTGGGCAGTCTAATCCTCTTCCACCACCATCTGTAGACCCTCATGCGAATGTACTGAATTACATTTGCCAAAGAGTTTCTTGTGTTGGTTGTTTTGATTTACAGTCGGTGGATGCATTGTAAAGCAGTATTATAGCCCAAGTCTAGTAGCTGACGTGGGGATTTATGTGGTGATATTATGCAGAAGAAAACCATCAATATTCATATAGATTCCATTAGACTGGACTATGCAGGAAACGCAAAAATTCTACCAATTATTTAATATTATGTTATTTGCAAAAAACAATTGCTGCTTTGTAGGAAGATAATGTGTGTAATGTGAAGGCAATTCCTCTTGTATATAAGTTCATCTCCATCTTCATCACGGTAGTTATTAAAACAGCCTCGTCTCATCCTGTAGATAAGGAACACGCTGTGTGTACTGTGCAAGTCTCGTTGTGCTCACTGAAAACAAAACGATGTGTTCAATAAAGCACAGCACAAATTCAGAACCTGAGGGAACAGCCAAACCTTGGAAGGACCCCTTTCCCCAACAGGCCAACAGTTGCTTCTGTATAAGTGGAATTTTTTTTCTTTTATTTTTATTTTCCTTTAAAAAATTTTACAGGAAAAAAAATGAAAAAGGATTGGAGGAAGAAATCATTATGCAAAATCCAGTGAAGTCTGACTCAAACCTCTCCTCGATTCTGCTGTGTCTTACCCTTCCCATATTTCTTTCTCACACCCTCTTTCCATTCAATTTCTATCCCTCTCTTTTATTATTTCTCATTCCCAATGCACTTTTCTATCCAGGGAGGGAACAGCATTATCGATATGGGAGCGGGTATCTGGGACCTCAAACTCCCCAGTTCTCTCTATCGCTCTAGAAAACCTTTGTCAAATCCAATTTCCCCCTCTACCTCAGTTCCAACCCTCTGTAAAATGGGAATAACAATAGTTTCTAGTTCACAGGGGGATTGTGCTGCTGAATCAATTAGCACTGCCTCAGTGCTTTGAGATTCTGGATAGAAAATTCTATCAAACTGTTAAGTATTATTGTGAATAATAATTAATGTTTCCATTACATTTCTCTCTTTTCCTTTTTCTCACAACTCATCCTTTGTTTCTTTATTATTCTTCTTAGCTCTCCCTTCACTTCCTCCTTCTCCTATCATTCTTAGTTTTGCTGCTATGTTTGCTTTATCTAATGGACCAAGCACAAATGTGAACCTGGATCTCCTTCTGTCTCGACTTGATCATGGGGGAAGAATCTTGTGAGTTCTCGAATGCCATGCCTGGCAACAGGGACCATGGCATTTAAAACTGGCAGCACTTTTGAGTCCTGTTCTCTGAAGCTCCTGTGTCCTTTTGGCTCAACAGGATGTGGGGCAAGACACAGGAAGGGGTTGCATGAGGTGGATGCATTAAAGCTGACACTGGTGTGGCCTGTAAATCTGTTGGGGAGGGTTGGTGGCAATGAGCCCTGCTGTGGTAACAGAAGTTTGCATGCTTTCTGACCCATCGGTAGCGATGAATCAACCTCAGAGTACAACTGCAGAATTAATCACAACATGAATGTGAGGACGTTAAACAAACAAGAAAAGGAAAACAAAAAAACCCTGCACCTCTTTCTTCTCTTGAGTATATACTTATATATGCATATTAACATTTTCCTAAAGGAATTTTTAGTTTGCTGAACTGTTGGAAAAAAACCCACCCTTTTGTCCCTAAGGAAAAGCACCCCTCTGGGCAAAGAAATAAGAATCATAGCTGAGCTGCCCCCTTTGGCACTGACAGAGTGAGGGCTTCTGAGGGACCCACAAATACCACAGTGTGCTTCCTTGACTGGGCCCAGGACAGTGGCAAACTTGCAAAGCAGGAAGGAGGGACCAAACTGACAATTACAGAACTGATGACAAATCTAACCGTAGAACAGCTCTGCTGATGATCTCCAGGCTAAGCTAGACATGAGACTGTGGAGGGGAGGGGGCCAGTGCCAGGTGCAGGGTCACATCCATTCTAGGCTGCTGCAGCCCCTCTTGGCTTTTCCTCATCACTTCAGTTCTGTTTGACCATTTTCTTTTCTCTTTTTGTGCACATGAGAAATAAAAGCAATTTTTTTTTTTTTGTATGTCATTTTTGTGGCTTCTGGCTTGTTTCTCTTTCCCTCTCCTACTCTCTCTCCCCCCTCCTCAGCACTTCACTCTCCAGTAGGTTCCCCTTGAGGTTTCTGGGATGTTACATTTGTTGCACCTCACACCCTTGGGGCACCATGTAAACAACACAATGATTGCTAACAACCACCACGGTGGGTGATGGAAGGCACTGCACTGCTTGCAACACCCCATAGTACAATCCACCCTCTGAGGCCCTGCCAGCCCCCACACGTTCCTATTCATTGCCAGCAGGACTCCTTCGTCTGCTGATCTCACTCAGTTGACTCCCAATGATCCATAACACATCAGGTGTTCCCAGGTAGTTCAAAAAATCAAAATGCCACAACATCAGAAAGATGTGGGGTAAACCCCAGAATCTCCTTTCCCTTTATGCCTGTCTCGCCTTAGCCCCAACTGGAGATGAGCAACACCTGCCCAGTGTGCATCCAGGAGGATTTAAAATCTTCCCAAATCAGCCCTGATGCTCCACCAGAGCACTGAGGGGGCTGTGTGAGAGGTCTCAGCAAAGAAAGGGTGGCTGACAGCTCTCAGGTCTTACTCCCACTTCTCTGCTACCCTGATTTTAGTTTCACAAGAGGAATTCTGTTAGCCTGATGTTTTATTATAGCTTGCTCTCTCTTAATCTCTGTCTTGGTTAACTGGGGTGCAAAACCAAATGCAACTCATTAATAACCCATTCTCCAAGCTATTCATCAATCACCTAACAGCTGGGCATTATATTAAGGTATGCTATAAACATACCAAATACCGAGGTATTCACTCAATTTTTTCTCAGTTAAGCATTAATTCTACAGAAAGTCATATGCAGTTAAAGGTCATAGAGGAAGAGTAAAAATGTAGCAATGAGTCAGGCTAAACTAAATCAATTTTGCTCCAACAATTTTTAGTCATTAACAAATATTTTCACAACAGCTCATGAAAACCAGTGGGCCACATTTTCTGCCAGTGCATGTGTATCTGAAGGAAAGCCTGTGCAGAAGTGCTGCCATGAAATGAAATGCTTTCACTCATCAGAGACTTAAAACATTTCCTTTTGTTTAATTTTCTATTTTCCCTTGCAGTATTAATAGAATAGGCAGAAAATCCTCCAAAAGAACATTTTCCATAAGTGAAAGTCAATTTGTTGAAATCCAAACAGACTGTAAAAGCAATTCAATTTTCACAACACTGCAGCAAAACTGCCTGGCAACTATCCTGAAGTCAAAGGCCTCAGGTTTCCAGGGTCTGCTGCCTATGAGACAGACAGGCCTGGGATGTGATGCAGGGATAGGCTTGTGCTCAAAATTGGAACAAAACTGGATTCCAAAATTCTGAAATCTTCTATGCATCAGAATTTTCTTTCTCTACCAAAGTTTAGGTGATAAGATTGAAAGAGCAAATTGATAGGTGAAGTCCTTAAATTGACTGGAATCAAAGGAAATTATTTATGTACGTTCGCTGTCAGAGAGATGTGTCAAAAGAAAACAAAATGGATTTTCATCCTGGTAAAATAATCTTAAAAGAATGATTTAGAAACTAGCATGATCATCTCATTTATATCACACTTTATACAGCCTAGAGATCTTCAATCTGACATTCCTGTGTAAGTCTCCATAACTGATTGTAGAACTACAGCAAAACTTTTGCAACTTTCAAGAACTTCTATTTCTTGCAGAAAGAAATACTTGCATGAAAGAGCTATTTCCACCATTTCAACTAATATTATGTTCCTTAATAATCCTGCATAATCAATGGGAGTTCTCAGTGTGAAAATGTTATGTGATAAAACTAAAAAGAGCACCACAGTCTGTCTCCAAATGAGGAAAATATCGTAAGAGTTTATGCAACACTAACTAAAGAAATCCTCTTTGTGATTACTCTGACAAGAAAAATAAAGAAAAGTTTGAACATTCTGAGATGATGACAACCTTCTTTAAAAATAAATACACTCTTTAATGAGCTGCAGGCAAGGATAGATAGTACACATCTGAAACTGTTACCTTATGTAGTGGATGAATTTACTGGACACACAGTCAGTTCCCAAAAACAGTGGGAAGTGGCAAAAATGAAACAACAGCAAACGTGGCATCAACGTTTTAAAGGATCCTGAAAACTATAACCTAGTAAATCTACACAATGATGTTTGTATCGAAAGGAAAATACTTAAAAATATTAAGAGAAGGATCAGCTCACTAAACAAGTAGTGGTTAAAGAAGATATGCATAGTAAACAGTCTGTACATGAATTCTTCTCTTCTTTAGAAGAAAGCTGGGAATATCCTGAGGACAGTTAACTTACTTGATTCAGGAGCTGTCTGCAGCGAAGCAAAGGAAGTTTGTTAGAGACTGTATTTTAGCCGCTCATACTCGAAAATCATAAAGCAAGTACACACAAAAATCACAAGATTGACTGGAAATCATGTAATCTGTATATAACACCAGACATAATTTTGTATATATGTATATTTATATACATGTATATAAAATAAATACAAAATAACTTTTGTTTAACTTCTAATTGCAGTGTTCTCGAGGCATCTATAGCTACACTTTTAATGGTGCCTCTTCCA